AAACCGGTCTGTGTGTGGATGACTGCTGCCATGGGCGAGGAGTGGATCAGAAGTGTTGACAAAGAAATGATGAAGAAGAAACGCTTTATTATCCTGACAGTGGACAACTGTCCTAGTCATGTCCATGTAAAAAATCACAAATACTACACTTGTTACTGTCTGCAAACATGAACTCACAAATTCAGTGAGGAGAAGCTAAAACCCATGGTCATTGGTAAATCAGCTAGACCACGTGTGTGCGAGAACCTAAATCCTGAAAACCTTCCAGTCACCTGGAGATCAAACCGGTCTGTGTGTGGATGACTGCTGCCATGGGCGAGGAGTGGATCAGAAGTGTTGACAAAGAAATGATGAAGAAGAAACGCTTCATTATTCTAACAGTGGACAACTGTCCTAGTCATGTCCATGTAAAAAATCACAAATACTACACTTGTTACTGTCTGCAATCATGAACTCACAAATTCAGTGAGGAGAAGCTAAAACCCATGGTCATTGCTAAATCAGCTAGACCACGTGTGTGCGAGAACCTAAATCCTGAAAACCTTCCAGTCACCTGGAGATCAAACCGGTCTGTGTGTGGATGACTGCTGCCATGGGCGAGGTGTGGATCAGAAGTGTTGACAAAGAAATGATGAAGAAGAAACGCTTCATTATTCTAACAGTGGACAACTGTCCTAGTCATGTCCATGTAAAAAATCACAAATACTACACTTGTTACTGTCTGCAAACGTGAACTCACAAATTCAGTGAGGAGAAGCTAAAACCCATGGTCATTGGTAAATCAGCTAGACCACGTGTGTGCGAGAACCTAAATCCTGAAAACCTTCCAGTCACCTGGAGATCAAACCGGTCTGTGTGTGGATGACTGCTGCCATGGGCGAGGTGTGGATCAGAAGTGTTGACAAAGAAATGATGAAGAAGAAACGCTTCATTATTCTAACAGTGGACAACTGTCCTAGTCATGTCCATGTAAAAAATCACAAATACTACACTTGTTACTGTCTGCAAACATGAACTCACAAATTCAGTGAGGAGAAGCTAAAACCCATGGTCATTGGTAAATCAGCTAGACCACGTGTGTGCGAGAACCTAAATCCTGAAAACCTTCCAGTCACCTGGAGATCAAATCGGTCTGTGTGTGGATGACTGCTGCCATGGGCGAGGAGTGGATCAGAAGTGTTGACAAAGAAATGATGAAGAAGAAACGATTCATTATCCTGACAGGGGACAACTGTCCTAGTCATGTCCATGTAAAAAATCACAAATACTACACTTGTTACTGTCTGCAAACATGAACTCACAAATTCAGTGAGGAGAAGCTAAAACCCATGGTCATTGGTAAATCAGCTAGACCACGTGTGTGCGAGAACCTAAATCCTGAAAACCTTCCAGTCACCTGGAGATCAAATCGGTCTGTGCGTGGATGACTGCTGCCATGGTCGAGGTGTGGATCAGAAGTGTTGACAAAGAAATGATGAAGAAGAAACGCTTCATTATCCTAACAGTGGACAACTGTCCTAGTCATGTCCATGTAAAAAATCACAAATACTACACTTGTTACTGTCTGCAAACATGAACTCACAAATTCAGTGAGGAGAAGCTAAAACCCATGGTCATTGGTAAATCAGCTAGACCACGTGTGTGCGAGAACCTAAATCCTGAAAACCTTCCAGTCACCTGGAGATCAAATCGGTCTGTGCGTGGATGACTGCTGCCATGGGCGAGGAGTGGATCAGAAGTGTTGACAAAGAAATGATGAAGAAGAAACGCTTCATTATCCTAACAGTGGACAACTGTCCTAGTCATGTCCATGTAAAAAATCACAAATACTACACTTGTTACTGTCTGCAAACATGAACTCACAAATTCAGTGAGGAGAAGCTAAAACCCATGGTCATTGGTAAATCAGCTAGACCACGTGTGTGCGAGAACCTAAATCCTGAAAACCTTCCAGTCACCTGGAGATCAAATCGGTCTGTGTGTGGATGACTGCTGCCATGGTCGAGGTGTGGATCAGAAGTGTTGACAAAGAAATGATGAAGAAGAAACGCTTCATTATCCTGACAGGGGACAACTGTCCTAGTCATGTCCATGTAAAAAATCACAAATACTACACTTGCTACTGTCTGCAAACATGAACTCACAAATTCAGTGAGGAGAAGCTAAAACCCATGGACATTGGTAAATCAGCTAGACCACGTGTGTGCGAGAACCTAAATCCTGAAAACCTTCCAGTCACCTGGAGATCAAATCGGTCTGTGCGTGGATGACTGCTGCTATGGTCGAGGTGTGGATCAGAAGTGTTGACAAAGAAATGATGAAGAAGAAACGATTCATTATCCTGACAGGGGACAACTGTCCTAGTCATGTCCATGTAAAAAATCACAAATACTACACTTGTTACTGTCTGCAAACATGAACTCACAAATTCAGTGAGGAGAAGCTAAAACCCATGGTCATTGGTAAATCAGCTAGACCACGTGTGTGCGAGAACCTAAATCCTGAAAACCTTCCAGTCACCTGGAGATCAAATCGGTCTGTGTGTGGATGACTGCTGCCATGGGCGAGGTGTGGATCAGAAGTGTTGACAAAGAAATGATGAAGAAGAAACGCTTCATTATCCTAACAGTGGACAACTGTCCTAGTCATGTCCATGTAAAAAATCACAAATACTACACTTGTTACTGTCTGCAATCATGAACTCACAAATTCAGTGAGGAGAAGCTAAAACCCATGGACATTGGTAAATCAGCTAGACCACGTGTGTGCGAGAACCTAAATCCTGAAAACCTTCCAGTCACCTGGAGATCAAATCGGTCTGTGTGTGGATGACTGCTGCCATGGTCGAGGTGTGGATCAGAAGTGTTGACAAAGAAATGATGAAGAAGAAACGCTTCATTATCCTGACAGGGGACAACTGTCCTAGTCACACGCATGTAAAAAAATCTCACAAATATCATACTTAAGTTTCTGCCTACAAACATGACATCACAAATTCAAACTCTGGATCAAGGGATCAACACAATTTCAAAAATGCACTACCGAGCCAAGCTCATGCAATGGGCTATGGCAAAATTGCCTACTTATGATTCTCCTGCGGAAGAAACTTCATCTGTTACTCCAGTTAATGCCTTGGATGCAGTGTTTTGGATAAGTTCCGCTTGATTCAAAGTTCAAGCATAAATTATACAAGTGTTTTAGAAAAGCCGGATTTTTTCCATCTGTCGAGCGGGATGTTGTCGCCTTATTAGACATTTCATCTCCATTGATAGAATTTGACAGAATAGATTTTAAAGATTAGGTTGAAATGGATGATGACTTGGTAGCTTGCACTGAAGCAGACCCAGATGCTATTTTCCAAGAGATACACCCCTACGGGAACAAAGAACAAACACTTGATCTTGCGGATGAAGAGGAAAAAGGACTGAGTGACGATGATTTGGAAATCATAGAAACTCCAAAAGATGGTCAGCCACCTCTTAATGAAACTGAAAGCGTATGCTGCGGAAAAGTGTCCAAACATGTTGAGTAGTATAGCTTGTGCTGAGAGTGTTTTCTTTAGTTACCTTTGTGATAAGAGAAAGAAACAGACTAAGATCGACTTTTTCTTCAAAAAATAATTTAATGCGGGATGCACGCAGCGTTTTAATTTATTATAGCATTGCATGGTTAAACTGCATTGGCCGTTACGTGAAACCCCGTCTAAGGTGTTCGAAATGAGTTTAGGTGAAAATAGAATTCATACTATACAACTCACAACGGGAAAGTGAATGATGCGCTAACTTTTGAGACAACCTCTGTATGTTGACCACTTTGGTCCAGTCCCTTGAGTGGTCAATTTACGGAGGTTTTACTGTATGTCGTCCACATACTGCAGGTTTGCCAGTCGATCACCTGATAGAACTTCAGCTCCGGTAGAGCCTGAAAGAACGGAGTCACTCATGATTATTTCCATAACAAAGTTAAAGAGGAAGGGAAATATAGAACAATTCTGGCGAACTCTACTTGTCGTGGGGAACTCAGGAGACAGATTCCCGTAGACCCTTACACGGCCTCGGGCGTCACGGTACAGTGAGTTAAGAATGAAAACTGATTTATTCGGCACGTCCTTCATGGATACGCAGTGCCACAAGCTGACGCCGTCAACAGAGTCAAAGGCAGCTTCCAAGTCAAGGAAAAGCACCATTGTCGGTCGTTTGTAAGTGTCTTTGCTCCAACACCTGGTGAAGAGTAAAAATGTGGTCGATACAACTACGGCCAGAGCGGAAGCCAGCCAGGCGTTCAGGGACTCGGTTCTTGCGGGGACCAGTAAGTCGTAGAAGAATTCTACCCATGAGAAGTTTTGAAGCAATAGAAACAAGGCTGATGCCTCGATGATTTTTGCACAAAGTACGCTGACCCTTCTTGAAGATGGGCACGGCAGTTCATATAGGCCAGTCTGAAGGAACCTCTTCACCCAATTTCGATCTGCTTCGGCTACGGTCCCAGTGATCACAGTGACCAAGGTTCACTTCAATGTGAATGTCCATTACATTGAGATTGCGCGTCACAATCCAATCACACAACGTGTAGTGCAAACTTGACCCTGCAATTAGTCATTTACCGTTGTGCCGAGCGTTGCCCACCGTGACCCGGTAGCCAAAGGGGTAGTTTCGGCTACTATTCCAATGGTCGCTGGTTCGAGGCCTACTATCTCAACCTGATGAGATGAAATTACATCGAAGCACGTCGCAGTAGTGCAGTGTTTCTGAAAAAGGGAATAATTCTCTCTTTTGAGAGTAAGTCGGTAGATGAGATACACGGTTTTTCGTAACAAGGCAGAGCGTGTGTGTGAAAGAGCTCACAAGAATGTAATTCCCATGGGTACAGGTACTAGAGAATTCGAAGATACATGGCCTATAACAAGTCAAAGATAATTGTATGGCAAATAGTGGTGTCCACTGATATTAAACGACAGAAATGCGCATTAAAGGGGCCCTTTGGAAGAGTTTTTAATATACCTGGACTGTGGGTTTCAGTCTTTGGTTCATCCGCCAAGTTCCAGCGCAAGATTTCACCATTCAATGTTCCACCAAGCAGCACTGGCATGTTCGAAGTGTGAATGACCGAAAATTGGCAAAATCCGTTTTCAGATGATACTATATCATCCCCATTTGTAGGCGGCTGTAAAGCAACAGTAAGTGGGTTAAAGTGAATTGCGGTAGTTGTTAAACAGACCGGAAGACATGGAAAGGTGGATAAAAAGTCAGGACAAAATGAGATGTAGAAATTACTGCACGCATATATCAGTAAGACCGGCAGTACTGTGCAAGCGGGACGCTGAATGATAAACAAAAAGATGGTAACATGATGGAATTCCAGTATTCTGATACACCAACTTTTTGACAGAAAAAACATGTGAAAACTATGAGTGGCAAATGCTTCGATTGGTATGATATCGAGAGTTAAATGGCAGCGCATTTGCATAGAACAGTCTAGTAGAAAGCCACACAAATGTACTCCGGAATTGTGATACCCAGAAAGATCCACATCGAGACAACACCAACCATCAAGGACAGCGCCGCAGCAGTATACCATCCAGCTGAGTCAATGCTTCGCTACCATACAACCACGATAAATTACAAAAAGAATAATAGAAAGAAAGAGGACGAATACATGGCCAAAATGCCTTAGGAGTCAGGACGCCTGCAACACATGAACAACATACCGTCGCAAAGAGCTGTCTATCGTGCAAACCCAAGGCGGAATCAGCGAGACGGCTTCCTTGCGGCTTACACTGCCCTGCGTTATAATAAACCATTACCTCGCAGATAACTCAGCACCAGCCCTATTTAAATAGGCAGTCTGACTAGGAGACGGCTGCAGACACGCCACCGGTGTCGGCTGCGAGCCATGTCCTGTGCTGTCGTTCCAAGGAACACAGGGCAACAATATGTTGACAACTTTCTGATACAATAGATCTTTACAGTCATTTTAAATGAACTTTTAATGCTGATTTGAAATATGAAAACCATTTTTGCATGCGAAAGTTGTCGTGCCATTCCATATCTTACAAAAATAGTAAATTACTTACCAGGTCATTTTCGTTTCAGATATGCCCATGGATCACTCAGGTCGACATAAATGTGCTAATGACCCTGATGCATTTTATCATATATATAAATGTTATACAGTCGTTCATCAGAGAAACATCACTTCGTTTGTGGAATGTGTCTATAAAGCATACTTTGAAATACTCCTTGGGGCACCTCATACTGTGTGCCATTATTGTGAGGAAATGCTTCGTGACTGGACAGAAGGAAAACGCAAAAACCTGCCATTTGGTATTCCCATGGTTTGGCGAGAACCTACGAACCACATAACAGACTGCTAATTTTGCATGGTTAATACGAAAGATATTGGAAATAAAAATCGGCTTAAGATCTCTTAGCCCAGTAGTTCCTCTGCAATTCGACCCATTCCACACTCTGACGAGCTTCCAGTTCCAAAATTTGGAGGTTTTGCTTCATCAGATGATAAAGTCAGTGAGTGTGAAGATGGGGCCCTGTTTCATAAATCGACTTCCTGGTTAACAGAATGTTGTTGTCATTTCGCGACCTTGGATGCAACATGAACGTCAAGCTGTATGTCTTGAACAGTCATCTTGATCAATTCCAAGTAAACCTTAGGGCAGTAAGTGACGAACAAGGGGAACGTTTTCATGAAGATATGATGGCGATGGAACAACGTTATCATGGACGATGACGGACTATTGTTGGGGCATCAAACGTGGCTGCACGAAAAAACATTTCGACATAAAAGCCATAAAGGCAATGGTTTGCCCGATTAATGCTTGTTACGCATCTAGTTTTGTGCTTATGTCATGCCTAATTAAATTGTTGCGTTTAGAACGTATGTTTGAAGCAATTTATTTATGTAAGATATATCGGGCCATAGACCATCATTGCGAACAAATACATCAGTTGAGACATTCCTAAGTCATTTTTCCCAAAATCTGTAACTTACAGAGAAAAATTATGTAAAATTTGAATTCAACACGCTCAGATTGCATAAGAGCCACTGTTAATTTCTTTGCAACCCTATGCTTTTATGCAAAGTGATGAGTCGAAAAGTAGCTTATAGGTGCGAAAAGTGAAATTTTTTGTTGATTTTCAAAAAAAACTGCAGCTTACACAGAAAAACAAATGTCAGATTTGTATTCAGCATGCTCAAATTATACGAGAAGCAGTGCACGTTTCCATGCGTCAAAAATGTTGGTGCTAGTGTTATCATTGTTTCGTACTCGCTTACGCACATCATCGTTGCGGACACGCTGGTGTCATCTGACACAAGCAATGCTCCGCAGGCAACGATGAGTAAAGACTTGAAGGCGCCTCAGATCGTCAGACCGATGGGACCAAGTCTTACTCCCATAGAGAGAGGCGGTCCGCACTGTCCTTGTATACACGACCTTTCAGACTGAGAGAAAACCCATTCTGATGCCACACAGGTTCTGGCTTTCGCAATACGTGACACCGTCGTGTTGTGTCCAACGTAAACGAAACAGACGGCGAGATTGGCAAGGGTGCTCAGCTCGATCACGCTGTGGGCGGTGATGTCTGTAAGCCGCCATACGGGGAATGTGCATGCGACGGTGTCAGAGCAACTAGCATTGTTATGAAGGAATTTCGGAAGGCCACAACATGGGAAGATGGCGTTAAAATAAAGAAAGACGCCTCCCTCTCCATCTACGATCTTATTTCGTAGGGTAAAACGTAAGTAAATTTTTGTTTTTGCCTAGTAGCCGGCTAGTAGCTTACCGGAACAATGCGTATCCGTTGCTGGTAGCTCAGCTGGCATTCAACTGTCGTATTTATTTTTCCTTTATGTATTGTATGTATGTATGTATTTCCTTTATGTATTGCGGTACAATAGCGGTGTTTTACCATCTCTAGCTGACATGTATAATGATGATGATGATGATGAGATCAAGCGTCTAGTGACCGGAGGTTGGTACGTTGAGACAGGAGGCACCTGGTTTGTGAGAGTCATCCAGGTAGCCGTTGGTCATTGATACCGTTGAGCACCACATGGATAGTTGAAAGAGTACAAGTGAGCGTGTATGCTGTGGAGATGGTGTGGTATCAAATCCGGTTCGTTGATTGTGCACTGGGTGTGACTGCAGACAAGTGAGATGAAGCAGACTAACAGCGAGAAGCAATGAGATTTGTGGGTACACCAGAATGAAGTTGTCGAGTGCGGACGAATGAGAGCGTTACATTATCCCATAGCAAACAGTAGAAAAGCGGACAAGGAAAAAGAAGTGTATGGGGCTAGTGTGACAACTTAGGTCCAATTAACCGATGAAATACACAAGGAAGAAGGAAACTCACCAGAAACCTCATCAAAAGCACCGGCGGTTCGAAAGACAACGGAGCACTGGGTTCCGCCTGATGGCTGAAAAAGCAATAATGAGTGGGAGGGGAAAGGAGAATGGAATATTCCCGAAACGACTTGGTGCGTCTGTTGAACATCATTGGCCGAAAACTTTTTCGCATGGAAATGATGGGCTTTGTGGAAAAACCCAACGTCCTCTTGGACAAGGAGTTACGATCTAGCACAAGGTATCTTAGCAGAAACAGTTTTTTATATATAAAACAGGCTCGTCCCAGCTTGAACGGCGTTAAAATGCGCTAAAACGATATCATTAAAAACCATGGATTCCAATGGGTGAGACAGTTGCGTATGCGAGTTATCAGTTACAAACCCGTGATGGATATAATACAAGATCGCACGAATCTAAAGTACGTAACCCTAATAGCGTAAAATACGTCCACGATTAGACATCTAACAGATGAATAAAAAACAATGGGAGATTAGGAGTTACGTTGTACCCACACGTCCTATTATGAGAAAAAACACATGAGAACCTGTCACCCAAAACAAAGTAAAAAGCCACATTTGAGAATCCGAAAACGACACCAACGCACAGAATTTATCGACCGTGTACAAACATTTCGAATAAATGGACACTGGGATTTTTTTCACCGCTAAGGTTACATATGCCGCAGTAAATGTGCGCAACACATGGGTTTGTTGGTCGTCAGATCGGGAAACAGCGTCAGTGCAAACCGATGCATAACGAAGCTGTGAAATGAATCAAGGAAGTTAGCAGGGGGGTATTCGATGTGACGAAAAATCCCCCCCCCCCAAAGGAGCGGAAGCCACAGCAACCAGTTGGGTCCAGTTTATCGACTATGACCAGTGCGGTGAGGAGCAGTGAATCCAGTTGCCGGTAGTGGTGCAGTACTCGGTGGCGAAGGTTAACAGCAATCAAAAAAAAACAAAAAGCCGAAGTGGAAAAGCTCAATCAAAATGGTTTGATACAAACGACAGAATTTCCTGTCAGTAGAGCTGGAAAGGCGATAAGCTGAAAGTATCACAATGCCGGCGACTTTCTAGAGCTATGTCAGATAGTTTCCGAGCAATGGAGGGACTCCAGTACACAGTGACAACACGTGTCATTGGTACCCACTGGGTTTGGTCGAGTCTTTGTGATAATCTAACAATGGGTGGGAATATAGCTTCACCCATCCAGATGTGGCAACCGCAAGCAAAGCTTGCCAAGCCGAGCGCTCCGCAACAGTGGAAGGAATAGGGTTTCCACAACGGCAGAATGTCCGTCCGCCAACGAAATCTACATCATTCTAAATCGATTGCTCATGGGGCAGTATGGAACATAATGGGGAAAAGAAATGACAGTAGTGATAAAAGTACTCACCGCATTTCTATCCGGTACAGCAGAGCTACACCAGAACGGCAATAGACAACCACGGAATCAGAGCCAACGAATTCACCACCAACCAGAGGATCCTGTTTTGTCGTGGGTTGGAGTAGTGCGACGGAGCATACCATCGCGTCGAAGAGCTGGAGTTGAAACAAAATACAGATAGGCATAAAGGTTCCCGAAACAACTCGTTTGGATGGCGTGGAGAAGATTCAACGCGAATCCCTTGCCGTATAGGAAAAAACTGAATGTACTGACGTACTTGCCACCCAAAAGAGGACACCATTAGGATGCAGCGAGGAGTCTGTGAACAGCAATCCACTTGAACAATAGGGGATAGACAATCGATAACGAGGGACTCGTGCTCATACTTCGTTTCATCCTGCGAGAAAAGATAAACCATTCAGGTATGGAAGAGTGAATTATGAACAAATCCCTGCCGCATATAATACCAAAGATACAGTACGCAAATATCAACAAAGCTGGATTAGGAATTGTTTCTTGATCTGCGAAACGGAGTACTGAGTGCAACAAAGCGGCCCTAAACATGGAAAGCGCATGCAATCTGCCAGATAGACATGCGGTTTAAAACCATTCAGCCTGGTCAAGAAACCGTGATAGTAACAGTGAAGGTTGGCAACTCGAACACGGAAAGTCTGTTGCATGTATTAGGTTGTGTTGAACTGCTACAGGGAGAAAACGAAGTCATGTACGCCATACATATTATATATATATATATATATATGTTCGCGGGTAGCCGGTTTCGGATTCATCTCTCACTGCAGCCAGCCAAAAAACGACTACAGAGGGACCATCGTGGCTTGCGCTGCACCACCCACAGCTCCAACCACCAACCACATATCCAGTGTAAACCCGAAGGAATAAGACCGGGAGGCATGCAGATCGCAGCCACATTTCATCAACCGAGCCGGCCCACACTCCTTCACAGGGAAACACAAGCACGCTGTAGTTGGGAATCAATCGCACACCAGACGGTGGCTGGACCGCAGTTCGCTCCACAATCGGTGCATGGAACCACTCTTCGAGCCAAGCACGACCACAAGCAAAGTGCATCCCGTCCCCTCCAGCAACGACCAACTGTCTCCTGGAGCCAGTATGAACGAGGTAGTGGGTAACAGACAGGTTGGCACCTTGTCAACATGCACATCAAGCGCAGCCACTACCGGGATATCAAGCAACAGCAAATCACTTGAGACGACGAAAGAAAATAAAATAAATCGAATAATATACAGAGTTGACGACATAACCCTTCCATAAATGAGCATAGGAAAGAAAATAGGTGCCAACAAATTCGCGATAAGTCCAAGACGTAAGAAAATAAAGTTTAAGAAAATGCCACAAACGCAAAAAACTGATCTCGAAGTTACGTAAAATTAGCTTTAGCGACGTCCGCAACTAAATAGAAGATAGTGCAGCCAGACCTAAAAAATTACAAAAAAATAATATAGCAAACCCACCACCTGAAAAAAAGATTCAGCCCGGAAGCACGCGGTTGGTAAATCGGACGCAGCGTAACTACGAACGCTGCACCGGTTCTGCCTACGTTCCCAGCAGGACACGTCAACGTTTCGCTAGTGGCACTGAGTGGCCTCGCTCATGTCTTACTAGGCCTGCGTGACTCATGCACTCGCGAAAGCATGTGTTACAGCACCCTGCGCTCGACGTCGATGGAGTACAACCCACCGACGCCCGCCGCTTACGCACTTGTCGATTCTTCTCCGCATGTATGAGGGGTTTCTCTTGCACCTCGGCAACTGTCTTCGTGATTAGGTCGCGCCACGCACGCTGATCAAACGCCTTCGTTTCCCATGACCTGCAAGCAAGATTAGACCGTGATAGACTCACTTTGATCATGTCCTGGTAATGAAGCTTCAGTTCCCCCACATACCGCTTCCCAATACTCAGCTGACCATATAATAGTTGTTTCGGTATCCGCGTCGAATCCATACGCCACACATGACCGAGCCACCTCAGGTGTCTCAGCAAAAGTATGCAGTCCACTGTATACATGGCACTTCGGCGCAGCAACTCTGTCGCCCCAACCGATGCGCAGAATCTGTCGCAAACAATGTTGATGGAACCGTTCGAGATATCGCACCTCCCGCCGGTACATCGTCCACGTTTCGCTGCCGTATAGAAGAACGGACAGCACTATGGAACTGAAGACCATCAACTTCGTGCTGACGATAATCTTTTGGTTGTTCTGCACTCGGTACTCTAGCTTCCCGAATTCCACCGCTGACTTCGATACTCGGATACGAAGCTCACTGTGTAGCTGCTGGTCAGTCGAAATCACACTCCCAAGGTAGCAGAAGCGGGAGGTGCTTTCCATTACTTCAGCAGCAATGTTGGCTTGCAGCAATAATGCGGATTACACATAAGGTGAAGACTGAGAGAGAGGCAGTCGTTGTCAAATTCCGCCAAACTTTTCTTACCCAAGTCACCGGGGTCTGCGATATGTGCAACAAATGCTGCATTTTTTCACACACCAATTCGCTAATCGTCGCAGTGGTCCCAACAAACCAACCGGGCCGCTTACAGCTTGCACGCCCGACGGTCTCCGCAGCAGCCTTTACCTGCAATTGCCCACCAATGCAATCGTATGCCTGCGCGCAAAGCACTCAACATCGGCTGCTGGAAGGTGTGCACACCACTGGACCGGAACTCCAGTGAGCACCCCAAGGGACTCACTGCACTGGTCGCGATGGAACTGGCGCGCTACAACATCGATGTTGCGGCGCTCAGTGAGACCCGGCTCGCTGAGCAAAGTATGTTGCATGAAACTTGTGCTGGCTACACATTCTACTGGGTGGGCAACGCCGCCTCAGCACCACGTGAACATGGGGTCGGATTTGCAATATCCGATCGCGTCCACGGCCAGCACGTGGGTGAAACAACATGCATCAGCGCGCGACTGATGACTGCTCGTCTACCACTCAGAAGTAGGAAGTTTCCCACCTTTATAAGCACATACGGTCCGACCATGTGTTATCCCGATGACACGCGTGATCAATTCTACACTGAGCTATCCTCCGTGATACGGTCTGTGCCGTGGAACGACCGACTATTTCTGCTGGGTGATTTCAAAGAGGGTGTTGGGCGTGATGCATCCGTGTGGACAGATGTTATCGGTTCGCATGGCATTGGTTCAGCGAATGCGAACGGTGACAGCTGCTCTCACTGTGTGCCACTCACGGTCTGACGATCAGGAACACTCGGTTTGCACTGAGTGCGAGTGACATAGCAACCACGGAGTGGTCACGCTCACTTGCTCGACTGTTATCATGTGTGAAGTGCGCATGACCCGTGTACTGCGTGGAGCTGATTGTGGCACTGATCATCAATTGGTGCGGACCAAACTGTGCATCTATTTTCGTCAATCTATGTACTGCACTCCCGTCGTGAATCGGCGTACATTTAACATTCCTTACCTCAGTACTCGAGAGAAACGCATTTAGGTGGAGATGGCGATGGCTGCACACCTGGGTGATGTGGAATGCCTAGTAACAGAGGGCGACATCCGGCACCAAATTCCCGACCAGGTGGCAGCTGCTGCCGAAGAGACCATCAAGCACGCAAACTGTAAGCGTCTCGATTGCTTTCATGGGAACAAGGCAACGATTGGCGCATTGGTGTCGGAAAAGAATACAGCATTTGCTGCACATGTGGCAGACCTCGGTGACTTGCGGAAGAAGAGTCAGTTTCGCAAGTTTTGACGGCGACTGACCCAAGAGCTCCGTCACATCAAAAATGCATGGTGGACGGAGAAGAGGAAGCAGATGGAATGCTACGCCGAACGGCGCCAACACAAGGAATTCTTTGACTCCTTGAGGGCGGTGTATGGACCGAGATTGGAGCCGCTGAGGAGGCTGCTCGATGGTAGTTCTGGCGCTGCCTATGCACAGACGCAGACATAATGCAGATCTGACGAAACCACTTTGAATGTCTCTTGAACAACCGTTCAAAGATCGATCGGACTGTGTTACGCGGACTGTAATAACACGAGATGAAGATAAAGAGCCAGTGACAGTAGTTGGGACGCGGAGAGCACTTGCTCAGCTGCGAAACGACAAGTGTGCCAGTGCAAACGGGATCCCACCTGAATATTGAAGCAAGGCGGACCAGCGCTGGTGAATGTGCTCCTCCACTTGGTGGAATGCGTGCGGATTGATAAGGAAGTGCCTTCTGAGCTGAAGGATGTGCTTGTGCTACCACTGCACAAGGGAAAAGGGAGAAAGCGATGTTACACGAACTATCGTGGCATCAACTTTCCGAGTTGTGTGGGCAAGGTGATTGCCCGAATCCTACTCAACCGCCTCGTCAGTCAGGTTGTGGAGCCTAACGTCGCGGAAGAGCAGTGTGGATTCCGTTCCGGAAGTAGCACCAACGACATGGTGTTTGCGGCTCGTCAGTTGCAGGAGAAATGCAGAGAACGACACCAGCCATTGTACTCGCTTTTGTTTATTTCACCAAGGCATTTGATACAGTGTATCGCGAGGCATTGTGGCAGGTGTTGGGTAAGTTTGGTTGCCCGCGTAAGTTTGTAAGTTTAATTGAATGTCTGCACAGCGGTATGCGGGTGACGGTGCAGATGAGTGGACAAACCTCGGATGACTTTGCAGTTATCACCGGTGTCAAGCAAGGCTGTGTCTTAGCTCCTGTCCTGTTTAATATATATCTTCAAGCAATGATGTCTTGTGATTTTGATGCGGCTTGTGCTTACAGTGTTCGTGTGGAGCACCGTATTAATGGTGGGTTCCTGAACATCCGACGTTTCGGTGCGAGAACCCTAGTTTGTGAGACAACTATCCGTATGTTGCTGTTTGCTGACGACCGTGCGTTGTTTGCACACAGTGCGGAGGAGTCGCAGCACATGACTAGTACTCTGGTTTGAAAGCGGCCAAAGCGGACTCACCATCAACACAAGCAAAAAGATCTGCCTCTTTCAGCCTTTACCAGAGGTACAATCTTCAATACTGCCGCGAATCAGCATTGGTGCTGAAGTAATGGAAAGCACCTCCCGCTTCTGCTACCTTAGGAGTGTGGTTTCGACTGACCAGCAGCTACAGTGAGCTTCGTATCCGAGTATCGAAGTCAGCGGTGGAATTCCGGAAGCTAGAGTACCGAGTGCAGAACAACCAAAAGATTATCGTCAGCACGAAGTTGATGGTCTTCAGTTCCATAGTGCTGTCCGTTCTTCTATACGGCAGCGAAACGTGGACGATGTACCGGCGGGAGGTGCGATATCTCGAACGGTTCCATCAACAGTGTTTGCGACAGATTCTGCGCATCGGTTGGGGCGACAGAGTTGCTGCGCCGAAGTGCCATGTATACAGTGGACTGCATACTTTTGCTGAGACA